AAATTTCTTTTTCGGGAGAATTCAAAGGAATTTACTCTTGTACTGTCATTATTCCTCTTGACTATGTATATAATAGGAATCAATAACAAAATGATGTTTTCTGGCTGAAAATCACAGTGGGCTTATGGATAAAGAAACTCTGCAACTTTCTAATAAAATTATCTTCGGAACTTCTCTTTCTACTTAGAGCAGCAATATAGAGGCTTAAAATAAGAGGGAGTAGGGTTCCGTTCTTAAGTTTTACTTTTTTATTGTGGTAAAAATACATGAAATGCTGTTTCATCCCCTTGGAAGAGTACGGCCCAGTGGTGTTAGTACAATCGCACTGTCCTATAACCATTGTCCTTGTCCTTCACCAAAACGTTTTCATTGTCCCAGACCAGAGGGTACACATCCAGGTCTCTGGAGCTCTTCATTTTCCCCCTGCTGGCCCCAGGGTAACCCCTCTTCTGTCTTCTGTCTCTATGAATGTGGCTGCTCATCAGAGTTCCTCGTCTAAGTGGGGTCCTACTGCATTTGTCCTTTTGTGTTTGGCTTATTTCACTTAGTGTTTGTCTTTAGTGTTGTCTGTGTCGTATACATCAGGATGTCCTCCCTGTTTAAGACTGAAAAATAATTCACTGAAGGTGTATATTGCATTTATCCGTGCATCCATCCACAGACATTGGGGTTGTTTTGACCTTTGGACTTACCAACACTTCTGTTCTTGTTCGCCATAAATTTTCCAATTCCCCATCAACTCCCCATCATATCCGAGTCTCACCTGTTCTTCATATCTGTTCTTGCCGTTCCCTCCTCCCTGAAAGGTCTGCTGTGTCCCAGCTTGTCCTCCTCTGCTTAGGCTGAGGCTTCCCCTTCAGAAAGCTTTCCAGGCGTCTCTGGCTACCGGGAACAAGAGTCCTTCGGATCCGCCACCTCACACACATTCCCCTCCCAGGCTTCATCATCCTCAAAGAGTGCTGTAAATGAGCAGGGCGCGGTGGTGCACTCCCGCAATCCTAGTGCCCTGAGCAGGGAGGGTCTCCCGCTTGAGCCCAGCTTGGCCAGTTTAGCTGTTTAGTGAGTCCTTATCTCAAAATTAAAAAAAAAAAAATGCATGAAGCCCTTGAGTACAGTCCCCAGAAAGATGCTGGAAAGATACTGGAAGTGTCCACCTGGGAGATCCGTCCGCCTCAGCTCCCATAGCTGTAGCTCTCCTGGCGCAAGTCTCTTTTCCTTGCCCCCGTCTCCACGCACTGGTCTGGAAACTGGCACATAATAGGCACTCAGGAGACATCTGTTGAACTGCACAATGGACCGGACGTCTCTATACCGTCATGCCTGAAATCAGAAGGAAGCCTTTCCCTGCTAATAAATACTTGTGGAAGACACCTGTAAGGCTGAGGCAGAGTGCAGTTTGTGACTTTCTGCACACCTGGCCTCATTCTTCACACAAATATTTTAATCCTCCGTCGCTGTTCCCTCCTTGACTGCAAGGCCAATCGTTGGTTTAGACTTTTATGCTTGGACCTATTTATTTAAACTACTTCTGATGGGCCGCACTTTGTTTTTGCTAGTATCTCATGTCCCCAGTGTTTACAGACCGAGCGCTTTTCTAGTGGCCTCTTAGCAGGTGCGGCCTTCCGCTCTTCACCCGTCGTGTAAAAGGAGCCCCGGTTTGCTTTCTCCTCTCTGTCCTCAGTGCTACCCTTTCCTGTTTTCATGAGTTATTTACTCAGTGTGATGGGCTCAGCCACTCCCACGTCACCTTCGCAACCTTCTTCACCTGTCCCTGGTCTTCCCCGCCAGTCCTGTGCTTCCCAGATTTCCAGGTATTGAACAGGTATCGACAGGAGGCAGTGTGGGGCCTCTACCAGGCACGCTTCCACTGTCCTGTCTATTTAATTTGAATGTCCTGACAACCAGTTCTTCAGAAGGATGAATTAAAACCCCAAATGGATTTTATAATCCTTGCTCTTTAAAAAAAATGCAATGGGGAAAGTTTTTGCTGGAAATAAATGTATATTCAGGCACTGTTTGGAGATGCGATTTTGAGGGCACCATCTTTTTTTCATGTGCAGAAACCTACTTCCCTCAAATCGGAAACTAGGTCCATTGCTGGGGGGAAACGTAAAGTGATACACAGGTGTTGTAAAAAGTTTTGCTTCGAGGAGGGACCAAGTGAGCAGAGGTGAAGGAAGCGTGAGAGTCTGATACGGTGAAAAACGAAGGGAAGAGAGCCAGAGTACTGGAAGTGACCAGCGCCTCAAGGGCATTTCTAGGCCCTGGGTTTCAAGGCAGGAAGCAGCCGGGGTTGGTACTGCAGAGAAGGATCAAACCAGTACATCTTTCCTTCTTAATTAATGTCTAAATCTGTTCCATGCCAATCCCCATCCCCCCACAGAAGTACACCTTTGTAGAGATAATCACAATTTTAGTATTTTTAATTGAATTGTCACTCTAAGTAGGCCATTCTTTGGAGATGCAGAAGTTGATTTTTATTAGCGGTAATTACCCACATGCTCCACAGGTTTTGGCTGCTGTTCCCTTCCCATCACTGTCTAATTTGAGCATTGTGGTGGGTTCCCCAGTGTCCATGCTGTCCCCCTGCCTTGTTGAGTAGCAACAGTGTGGCTTGGGGATTCACTGTAGCTGAAGGCCCATAGACGTGTGAGGCTGGGTCTGTCTTCACAGCCAGGGTTTGTGTTTAGTAATGGGCATGTGTTCACCCCTGGCTAGTGAGGAAAGGAGAATTTGGAGGAGGTTTGGGGAGGAGAGAGCCATAGCCAATCTAGTGCTCTCTACTGCAAGATAAAAACCAAAGGCTTGTAGCTCTGGGTGCTGCAAGGGGACTTGAGTGTAGGGTAAAGATGGTGCTATGGGTGCAGCATAGGTCCTTCTGACACTGCTGAGCTATAAAATCAGTGAACTCTGACCCTGAACAGTGACTGGATGTCCTGTGATCAAAGCTAATATGTGTCCTTATTATTTAATCCAGTTAGTATTTGTTCATCTTTAATTGAAATCACATATATCCTAGATGATCCACGATCCTTATGACCCTCCTTAGTGTGGCCTTTTGGACTGTAACCCTTTTGAGTTTCATATCCTTATCTAAGAAGTGAATAAAATTATGTCTCATGGAGTTTTTAATGAAGATGGAGATTCAGACAAAGCCGGAGGGAGGCCAGATGGACCAATACATGTTAAGTGCTTAGCAGATATCAAGAAATTGACTAGCTCTTGGTTTTAGGCCACTTAGAGACTAGAAGAGAAATTCACAACTAATTTTGCTGTGGTGGAAATAAGATCCCCTGCATGTGAATGTTTGTGCACTCCATCTTTGATATCATTCATATTTGTTGAGGTTTTGGGGAACATATTTGTTGGATAATTACTATTGAAGAAACACATACTTTGTAGGAAAACAAAAGTCCAATTTTTGAGCATCTGAAGTTTGAGCCGTCTGATTTGCATTGAAATTGAGATGTCAAGCTGCGTGTTTACTCCTCCGAGGTCTGAGGTGGAAGTAAAACTTGAGTGTCATGGAGTGTTGATTGCGTCGAAGGCCAAGGGGTGGATGGTACCTGTTGATACGGACAAGTGGAGAATGCAAAGAATGCACTGATTTCTGGAAAGCCCCTTTTCAATATAACCTTCCCTATAAAATATTTTTTTAGAAGCGGGCAAAGAAGAGGAGGGGAGGGGTTTTGAGTAAAGGACCCAATTTTCCGATCGCATCAGTAGGCTGGGGGAAGAATGCAGCGGGGTGAAGCTGATGATGTCAGTGAGTTCGACTGGGACAGAAAGACCAGAGCCCGGGAGCCGCGGGGCTGCTGACCTTAGGGCCTGAAACCAGAGCGGAGGGAGGGGCTGAGAATGGGAGTTGGATCTGACCGGTTGGGGGTCACAGGAGCAACAGCTGACTGTCAGGGACCTCAGAGCATCTCCAGGTGCAGACATAGACACCCACGCATGCCCCCTCATTCCCAGGCGTGGTCTCGGTGTAAGGTGTGGTTCTCATAAGGGCCACTGCTACTTCCTTGATAACACCTTGTACATAGGAGGCACTCCATACACGTTTGCCAAATAAATATCCCAGAAAATGAACTTCAGATTTTTTTTTTTTGGTTTATTTTTTATGGCACTGGGCTTTTGCGCTAAGCTGTATCCCAACTTTTTAATTTTATTTTGATACTGGGTCTCATTAAGTCTTTGAGTTGTGCCGGCTGGGCTCAAACAGTCGATCCTCCTGCCTCAGTCTCCCAAAGCGCTGGGCTTATAAGCATACACACCATGTCTGATTTGAGCGTTAACTTTTATAAGTAGGGCATTCATGTTAGTGGATGTGGGAAAATTAACAGGAAAATATTGAAGCCGCTGGGATTGAGTTCTTTGAGTCTTCCATTCCGATTTTCCTTTCTCTTCCCCGTCACTGATGATGGCTTTAAAATCGCTGCTCTTTTTTTCTGCCCTTCCTCTTGGATTGTGAGTTCTCTGAAGGTAGTCTCTGACCTGTGGAAATCCAGGTGTTCTCCGGGGGTGCCCATAGTAAGGGCTCAGTAAATACTGGTTGGATTAGTGCAGGGTGGCGGGGTGAGTGGAGGTTTGCAGACTAGAGGGGGTGCAGAGGGCGTGGGGGAGGAGAGAGGACAAGTGGAGCTATAGGATTGGGTGTGTGGGCAGCAGGAACACAGCTGCTGGAGGGTGCGCTACTCTGTGATATGGGGGTGAGTGACTTGCTAAAGTCAAACAGCCAGAGCTAGGGGCCAGGGATTTAGCTCAGTGGTTCCGCAGCCTGGCTCGCAAGCGCAAGGACATGAGTTCGATCCCCAGTACAAAAAAAAACAAAAAACAACCAAAAAACAGCCTCAGCTCCGGCTGTCTGGTAAGAGCACCCAGCTCTTACACAAGCTGAGGTTCTCCCACCTTCCTGGGCTCCCTTCGTGTTACTGCGCTCCCTCTGTGTTCCCAGAGCTTCCAAGTTCGTTCTCTGAGCACTGTGTGTTCCTCTTTCCCAGCTCTGCACTGTGGCCTGAGCCCCCAAGGCATTGAGCATCCTGCCCACGCTGAAGGTATTAAACTGCAGATCGAAGGTGAAGGTGTAGAATCTCAACCCATTAAGCACAGAAATTTCCAGAAGGTGCCTGACCAGCGAGGAACCCCCCGGCGACTGCAGGGCGAAGCAGAGACGTCCAAGGTAGGTGCAGACCTGCGAAGGAAGGCTCGGGCTTAGCGGTTGTGATCCGGCCACAGGGAGTGGGTGGTGCTGGGCTCACACTGCTGTGCCTTGGGTTCGGTGAGCACCGCATCTTTTCATAGCACGAACCTAGGGACCGGCCTGTTGGGAAAGCCCTGGAACTCTGAACCTACGGTCTTCATGTACAGCATAGGAATCATGAAAGGATCATAATCCGACCCCTGAAATCAGGTTAAGCAGATGGGTGATTTTTGTGTTCGAGGAAGCATCAGTTTTGTAAAAACTTGAGTATGAGGTCCCTCTGCTAACAGATACTCTTAACTGTAATTGACATTTTATAATATCTATCATTGGCAGTGTTTGAAAGTCCCTTGATGTCCTGGTTTACTGTGTCCCTGTAACCAGCCTGTGAGGTGGACAGTAATAAATAGGGCCTTAATTCATGGAAGATAAAACTGCTCTCTTTTGCTGTAGGATGCTTAGTCCTTTTTAGTTTTTAGCCTGGTATAGGTGCTATCAAAGTGACCGAATGCATTTTAATAAAGATCCACCAAAATGTGGGTTTCTGGTGGTAGTGATTCTTTGCTGAGGCCAGCTGCTTACAGCTTTCTTGGATAGAATTGGCACCAAGGTGTTTTTCCCAGAAGTCAGTGAAGAGCTCATGAATGGCAGTGAAGATTCCCTTTTACTTTGTTAGAAATTGAGGGAATTAATGTTCTTGTGCCCTTTTGTTTCTCCCTTTGTGACTCCCTGCGAGAGAATTCCCCTTCAAATATGTGCCGAGTGATACTTGTATGAAGTCCTCTGAAAGGGAGTGAAACACCCAAGAAAAATCTAAAGTTGGAAGATCACTTTGCTGTCGTACAATTGGTCATCTCCGTTCTCCCCCAAAACAGTGGCCCCCAAGTTGATATTGAATCCTTGTTGCTTTATCCACAGTTTTTACTGATCACCATTATTGCTTCCCATTTTTAGCTTTGATAATTAAAAGCCGGTGACCTTTGTTCTGTGTGTCTGTGTGTAGGGAACCAGCAAGGAAGACACTGAGGTGCTCTGCATGGGGCATTTTAGCGGTGAGAAGTCGGGCTGCACAGGGAACTGGTTGGTGATCATTGAATTTTGGTTTGGGAGCACAGTTGGAAATTAGTGGACCTTGCTGTGACCTCAAAATTTGGTCAATCTGTGTGCTGCACAGGCATCTTGAAAGAGCCGGGAAAGAAATGTCCCTGGGTCATCTTTTGCTAGAAAGATGGATTTTGCCTCAGTAGGATCTTTTCAAAGAGATGCTTAAAAACTTAAAAATCACAGTGGCAGAAAAGCAAATGAATCATTGATATTTATCTGATTTTAAAACAGCTTTAAACATTCTGGATTCTATCTTTTATTTGTAAAAAAAAGATTGGAAATATGAAAATTAGATTCAAGTCTGATGTGATTTGATTACTTTGGGTTATTTTAAATATGATTTCATAGAAAAACCCTGAATTTTGGTTCCATAGCCCTTTGTCTCACTGTGCTGGCCCCTTCTTAGTTTCTTTGCTGATAACACAGGTCACTGATAGTGTGCAGCCCTATAATGAGTCTTTCCTCAGGAACAGACTGCCCGTCGGTCGGAAGCCAGACTGAGTTTGTCCACACCATCCGCAGTAACCCCCCAGACACATGAACTTGAGAGGAGATGGTGGGGGTGGTCACAGTGACAGCTTATTTGGCGGTAGACAAGACTTTATGGTAAAGCTTAGAGAAAGTATTTGCCCATTTTCTCCTGGAGGACTGGATAGCAGAGGTTGTTGCTAGGGGACAGAAGTACCCTATGGTGATGCCTGCAAAGTCCCGCCCCCTGAAGTGTGTGTGGCCCCGGGACAGTGTGACCTTGCTTTGTACACACGCAGGCACACTTGTGTTTGCTCGAGATCCCGCTGTGTTTTGAGGGCTGGTGGAATTGTGAGTCACTTCTTTTCTTGAATCCCTGCTAACTTGATCTACTCCAAACTTAACAAGCAAACCTCTGGCAGGACGTGGGTGTGTTCAGAGCCTTCCGGTGATGTGAATTGGTACAGCTTTCCTGGAGAACAGGTACTGGTAGTTATTACAATTTTAAGTGTGTACAATTTGGGGTCTGTAATAAATCCCTCTCTGGGAAGTTGTCCTAAGGAAGTAATCAGATACATACGGATGGCTGCAGGAGAGCGGTTACCGTAGCAGTGATTATAATAAGAATACAATGAAATAGGCCTGTGTCCACTCTTCGGGCTCTGACTCTAGAGACGGATGAGCTCTTCCTCTGTTCAAGTGCAGGAGACCTGGATGTATTTAGCTGGGGAAATGTATAGGGTAATACTTTAAAGTGGGGAGGGCAGCAGCGGGGCAGGGCACAGCACTGACTTCCTGCTTCTATCAGTAGTTGATAGCTGCGGTTGAGATAATGAGGGAAACTTCACTTTCAGCTCTTCTGCTTTGTTTGAATTTTTAAAGAGCTGCATTCTTTCAATTGTATCTAAAGCCCTCTTCAGATTCCCCTGTTCCCCTTATTGGGGAGGTCATAGCTTTTCCTGTTTGTGGGGTTGGTATCCTGCCTTTCAGGGGCAGGATTTCTTCCTGTGGCTTGGTGTTGCCAGTAAGTTCATTTGCCAGCAGTGGGCTGCTGCCTGTGGCCGTCGTCTGCTGAGGTCCTTTGCCCTTTGTCTCTGCTTGAACTCAAGGATTCGGCAGCTCTGATCTGGCATTGCATTCGTGTTTCAGTTTGCTATTGGCATTTGCTGTCAACTGGTTATGCAGAGCCAGTCCCCCTTGTGTACCCAGAGACCCTGGTCCCGGGTCCCTTTGGCCTCTGGGCTCTGCCGCTTTGATTCCAGCCATGTCGGGCTGTGACACCAGCCTTTCGACACAGCACCCATCCCCGATGCTACAGTCCAGGGTGAGCTTCATCCCGCCACCTCTCTGTTGTGGTTTTCTGACACCTAGAGGTTTCTCTTCCTTGATTTCCAAGTTGGCTTTACATAAGTTTTTAAATTAAAACATTTCAGGTATTTTTGAGCAATATGAGAGCAAGAGCGGGAATTGTCTCAATCTGAAATCTGAAAAACCTGAGTAGGCCTAATGTACCACATTCATTCTGCAATGTCTGTTGCTTTCACAACTTAAAAAAAATTAGACACATGCACACACCCCCCTTTGTACATCTTCATGTCCATCCTGGGAGAAGTAATTCTTGCTTCTCTTAGTTTCTTGCAGCAGAAACTCAGAAGCCCTAATTCTGAAGGACATGGGCCACAAGTTGCCTACCTCATAACTCTTACAGACCAAAGAAAAACTAAGAGAACACTCAGCTGTTCTGTGGATTTAATATTGTGTAGCCTTCAACCTACTTGAAAAAAAGTGAGTTAAACTGATGTGTGAATCTGCAAACGGTATACACTACCCCTGTCCTGAATGCCACGAGCGCTTGCAAATCCACGCAGAGAGTGTACCATGGAACCAGCAGCTGTGGTTATGAGTGCAAGATGCAGACACTGCGCTTGCTCAGCTTTGCAGGTCGGTGCAAGGTGAGAGACATGGTCAACGTAGCCCTCTCATCTCACAGGGAGCCGGGATGTTATCCAAGGTCTCCTCACCCGCATGGGGCTTATACAGCGGCCACAGATGTGAGGATGGCTCTTTGGCACATCTGCAGGCACAACATTCTGCCCACCAGTGCTTTATACCATTCTGGTCTTCTGAGCCCCAGGCCCAGTCATAGCTCCTGCAGACCAGGTGCAGGTGCACATAGCAGTTTCCAGAAAGTTACCCTATGGGAGACAGGTCCTTTCTGGACAGCCCCTTTCCTGAGGCTAGTGGTCCTGACTTCTCTGTGAGTAAAGGGTAAGACTGCAGGGAGGGTTTTAGCATGAGCAGAACTTGACCTGTGCTGTGAAATACAGGTAAAATTCATGCGTGGGATGGTAAGAGTAGAAGGTGTCCTTAGCAGGGAGGCCTGAGTATCTTGGCCCAAGCTGTAGCAGTAGAGATGGTCTCTTAGAGTCCGAGTTGGTGGTGTGGAAATTGAGCCTGAATCCTTTGGCTGGACCCAGCTGTGTGGGGCTGAATGCCAAGGTGAAAAGCGTGAACCTACTTTGTATTGGCATTGGCCAGTATGGTAGCCATTAGCCACACATGGCTATTTAAATTGATAAAAATTGAATTAAAAAAAATCTTTCCTGTGACAGTACCAGCCACATTTTAGGCATTCAGTCACCATATATATCTGGGACATATTTGGGACAGGATAAATGTGGAACAGGAATGTCACGGCAGAAAGCTGTGTAGAACAGTGCCTTTCTAATCCAGAGAAACTATTGGAATTCTTTAGATAAAGGAATAAGCTGAAAGATGGAGTTGTCCACATTTTCTCTGACTCTTGTCCCTGGACCTGACTGGACATGTGCTTCAGTCATAAAAAGAAAGTTGTCAAAATAATTAGGAGTCTCTTCCTAAATGCCCTGATGGTTGGAGCCTGGGTTTCGTGACAACTCTGGCTGTGGAATACCACCCACCCATAGGCAGGGAGTAAGGATCCTGGTTGTTTCCCATTTGGGAATTCTGGAATGCATCATTGCAAGTAGCTTAAATGTGACACTGGGGAAGCTGAGATCCTTGATCGCCAGAACTGATTTTCTAGGGGCTTCTTTCTAAGGGAACTCCACATTGCTGTATTTTTTTAAGTGCTTTTTCAAATAAAGTGTTCATGAAGCTAATGATCCTTAGGTTTCCCTGCTACGATGCTAGCTCCAGGAGTCAGAGCTCTTTGAATGTCCCTCCCATCTGCATTTTTGCCTCATTCCTTTTATTTATTAAATCTGCATCTCCGTTTTATGGCTGAGAAACCCTAGAATTGAAATGACTCCCCAAAACTCAGTTTCTGGCTCATAACTGCAGAAAGATGGGACTGAAATCTAACAGCTCTGAATTCAGGGTGTTTTATTCCCCTGACATGAAATGAACAAACGATCTATTTATTTGGA